ATTTTTCATAAAGCATAAACAATTTCACCATTCTTCCACTCATGCTTCACCATAAATTTGTTTGTTCTTGCTTCAGTTTTAGAGGAATTCATGTTGCTCTGATAGGGGCTCTTTCCAAACTGAAGTCTTATTTTTCTTAGTGCCTCAGACTAGGTCCTGTTCAGACATGTTATAACAAGTTAGTATGAGTTTATTGTGGTGCAAAAAAAAAAAAAAAAAAAAAGTTTGTTTCTTTTCTTTAGTGATTAGTATACCATAGCATGGATGAACACAGTTTATTTAACCATTTATCAACTGAAAGGCATCTGAATTGTTTTTAGTTGCTTTTTAGTTTTTGGCAGTTTTGGAAAAAAACTTCAGTAAACATTCACATACAAGTTTTTGTATGAACATCAGTCTTTATTTCTTTGGGGTAAATATGGCTGGGAGTACAACTGCTGAGTCATATATTAGTTGCATAAATTTTTTGAAGACCCCTCATAGACGCAAGGATATGCATAGGTTATATGCAAATATTATGCCATTTTATATAAAGGACTTGAGCTTCCATGGATTTTGGTATCCTCAGGGGTACTGAAACCCATCCACCATGGATACTGACGGAGGACTGTAATTTTTATAACCCAGTGGCGTCACATAATAGATGATCAATGTTTGTTGCATGAACAAGTGAAAGAATAGCCTATCTAATCTTTTGAACTGAGAAATATCTTTGTAAATACTTAATGATGTTATATCCATACTGTACTTTTATGGACTGAATGTTTATGTCCCCTCCAAATTCGTATGTTGAAGCTCTAACCCTCAGTGTGGCTGTATTTGGAGTTGAGGTCTCTAAGAAAGTAATTAAGGTTAAATAAGGTCATAAGGGTGGGGCCCTCATCTGATAGGGTTGGTCTCCTTATAAGACGACACATCAGAATGTTCACTCAAAGCTCATGCACTCAAAGAGGAGCTTATTTGAACCCATAGCGAGATGGAGGACTCAGAATAAAACCTACCTTGCCAGAACCTTGATCTTGGACTTCTTAGCCTCCAAAACTATTTGAAAATAAATTCCTGTCCTTTAATCCATCCAGTCTGTAGCATTTTGTTATAGCAGCATGAGCAGAAAAATATATACAATCATGTGCCGCTTAACAATGGGGATATGTTCTGAAAAAAGCATTGTTAGGCAATTTCATAATTGTATGAACATCATAGAGTGTACTTACACAAACCTGGATATACACCATACTACTCACCTAAGATGTATCATATAGCCATTATAATCTTATGGAACCATAGTTGTATATGCTGTTCATGGTTGACCCAAATATTACGTGTTTCATAATGTATATGTAGAACATTGTTTTCTGTTTCATACATATTTCGTTAGCCAAAAAAGGAAGTAAAAGACCTTTGATATGTCTAATAGCTGTTCTCTCCCCTTTAGTTTTCAAGAAAACAAATTTTTTTTCTCTTTTAACTTTTTCTTTGCTAACAAAATATAGTGTCATCACAGACAGAAAAGCTTTTTTTGAAAAGCTTTTCTTTTTTCTTAAGCTTACAATCTACAATCCACATTTTAAGATAGCTTTATCTTAGTACAATTAGTGAAAACCCACAATTTATAGTGGCTTAACAAGTGGCCAGATTCTTTGAGATACTCCTACCTTTTCCACATGCTTGTTACACCTTATGTTTGCAAGATAGTTGTCAGATTGCCTCCGAAAATCATCTGAGATCAAAACAAGTGGAAGTGGGAGAGGCTGTCTTAGCAGTATACTTGCCTTCTTACAGGAAAAGATTTCACAGAAGCTACCAGTAGACTTCTGTTTATCTCACTGGCCATAATCATAACAAAAGCTTAAACCTAGCTGCAATGGGAGCTGAGTAAACAAGTTTTTAATTTTTCCAATTCTTATCTTGGCGGTGGCAAAGCAGAAGAGATATCCAGATATCCATTGGGTTAGCCAATGAAGAGTATCTGCTATCCAAAGAAACTGGAAGCTTGGACTGACAGATCAGTTCATCTAGAGAAAGAATCCTCCAGAATTATAGGCTTAATAACCCCAAGGTGGGGTTTTACATTTCACATTTTAGAAAAGGACTTCAGCCACTATTTGACTAATGTCAATATCTCATTGATTACAATTAATTGGGCTGCAAACATACCTTTTGTTTATTGCACACAATTGACTACATTGTTTTTAGTTGTTTGTTTTGCATGGAGATGATGACACTGATATACTTTTCTGTAAATGACAAACATAAGAAATTGGCAAGGCATTTTTTTAAAGGGAAGAATAATTTAGCTTTTTGTAATCACTGGCATCATTTACTGGTGGTGGTTAGCACAAGCTAGGACAATTACCTAAATGTAGTCTAACATGTCACTCAAGGAGACTTTATCAGAACAAAAATACAAATATATATATATTTTAATTTTATCAATATACATATTGTTGGTTATTGTAGACCATTACCAAAACCTCCCTCCCTTCTCCCTCTCCCCCTTCCCTCCCAACAATCTCATATCTGTTCGCTTGTTGTATCAACTTCAAGGAATTGCAATTGTTGTGTCTTCTTCCCCCCCCACCCCCATTTATTTGTGTATTTATTTATTTATTTTTAGTTCCCACAAATAAGTGAGAACATGTGATATTCGTAACCTCGCCAGCATTTATCATTCACCATCTTTTGGATATTAGCCATCCTAACTGGGGTGAGATGGTATCTCAGTGTGGTTTTGATTTGCATTTCCCGAATGCTGAGTGATGCTGAGCATTTTTTCATGTGTCTGTTGGCCATTCGTATATCTTCCTTTGAGAAATGCCTATTTAGTTCTTTTGCCCATTTTTTAATTGGGTTACTTGTTTTTTTGTTTTAAAGTTGTTTCAGTTCCTTGTATATTCTGGATATTAATCCTTTGTCAGATGTATATTTTGCAAATATTTTCTCCCACTCTGTTGGTTGTCTTTTGCTGGGAATACAAACATGTTCTAAAATAATCCAAAAACTACTATATTCATGTAAGTAATAAGATCCATTTCAAAAGCAGATGAATTAATTTTAGACTTAAGGCCACTGTTCCCTTCTAATATCACAGATAGTCGAACAGACTACATATATGATTCATCTGAGGAACATGGTTTTCTAAATAAATGTTACTTTAAATGGCTCTCAGTGTAGTAGACCGAAAGTTTTATGGTTATACTACCTATACGCATACTTAATTTTTAAAAGGTTATGTTAAAAGACTATCCACAAAAATGCTTTCTGTTACTCATTTTTTTTTATTATTAATATTGGTTATATTTGAAATGCATTGCACCTATTCACAATGACTTTTTAAAAATAATCAGTAATATAAAGTGTAAACTTAAAAAGAATTACAGACTCATTCCACATCTGTGAAATGCGGCACTTAAATATCATTCAATTTACAATAATCATAGGGGATAGGGAGAAGAACATAGAAAGTAGAGTGGGAAAATGGTATTCAACATCTGAAAAACACAGCTATTACTATACTAAAAAAATAATTTATTAATTGAATATAATACTTGGAATAAAATGCATTTTATATATATACATACATACATACATACATATATATATATATATATA